ATTCTTCTCCAATGTAAAATGCTATGGTGCAAAACCTTTTAAATCAATTTTTGCCTAGTTATCTTCATTATAGCAATGCAGTTCTAATTAGCTTGCAATGGTTCCTTCAAGAGGTCTGGCAGCACATTTCTGTGTACACAGGTTGCAGTGAAGTGTATTTTCTCATATACCTATCTTAGACATACTGTAATTGCTGCTACAATAGAGGATACACCATGTTACAGCTGGATTTATTTAAATGTTTAATGTGGACCTTTATTAAAAAAGTCTATATTTGCTATATTATAGAGAATATATAGAAAAAATTGATTTTTCTACATGTAAAATCCTTTTCTTGGAGTACATCTCAGAACAGTGGAGGATAATGTAAGAGCAATGCGCTATGCAGTTACCTTCAGGTGAATGGACACTGACAAATCAAAGCTGTAAGGACAGCCCTGTATAACCTCCCGCTCCCAGCATGCCTTCGGTTTTGTAGTAAGCAATACAAGAGAGTATCACAGAAAACGGAGAGGAAGGACCTTTGTCCTGTGATATACTCCAAAAGGAGTATATCACTTTTGGAGCATATCGTATATTTATTGAAAACCCAACAAGGAACAAAAAAAAGGCCCAAGAATTAAAAAGGGATGCCTGGAGAACTTTAATCCTCATCAGATACCAGCTTCAGTTGTAGAGGTTCATCGGGTAAAACTTCACAAACGTGTAAACCGAGGACCAGTTGGCAGCCTTGCAGAGGGCTGATGCTGAAAAGCCCAAGAAGCATTTACACTTCTAGTGTGCCTTTACCAGAAAAGGGGGAAATTGTCCCTTAAGGACATAGGTTAAAATGATGATTTGTCTAACCCACCTAGCGACTGTGGACCAAGACAACTGCTGAACCTTGCAGGAGCCTTTGAAAAACAAGGAGTCAGATTAACGAAAAGAGGCTGTAGCTGGGAGATACTCTCAAAAAGCACATACCACATCTAAACAATGGAGAGAAATCTCTTTAGGATGTTTGGGGTAGGACACAAAGATGCCAAGACAATGTCCTGGTTAAGGTGGAAAGAGGAAACCACCTTGGGAAGAAAGGAGTTAAACAAAGCCAGCTTAATATCCCTAAAAGGCTTAGAAAGCAGCCTCTGCAGCCAACAGAACTAGGTTAAGAATCCATTGAGTCAACACAGAGCACATTGGGGGGGAGGCAATGTGGGCGACCCCCTGTACAAAGGCCTTTACTAGGAAGTGAGAAGCACACAGCCTCTAAAACAGTGGTTCTCAACCTGTGTAACCTCAGGACCCCCATTTGTCCTTGGTCATTAAGTCGCGACCCAAGTCAAACTGCAATGGAACGCACGGTATTGCAGTACCAAATGTTCCGGTGTGGGCTCCCACACCAGAACATCCAGTAGGTGCGATTGCGTGGTGCAGTGCATTAGGCTGGGTTCACACCTAGGCGTATCGAATATGCGTGTTTGTCGCGCATTTTACCGCGATTCGCAGTAAAAAACGTGCAAAAAACGCGCGTTTCCGAGGGCTACCTGGCTGTATCCCAATGGATACGCGTGGCAAATACGCCCCAAGGAAGCTCCTGTACTTCTTTGGGCGTAGGGCATTTTGCAGCGTGTTCCTACGCACTGTAAAACGCCCAGGTGGGAACCATGCCCATAGGCAATCATTGGTTTTCACATGTTGAGCGTTTTACTGAGCGTAGGAACGCCCTGTAAAACGCCCAGTTGTGAACCCAGCCTTAATCGCATGAGACTGTGTGATTAACGCATTGCTTGTACAGCTCCATTGCATGTCTTGTAGAGGTCTCGAGAGCCAGAATGTGACGTCACTCCGTTCTAGACACCGGTACAGGACATGCGAGGGAGCTCTAAGCAATGCATGTATGGATGGAGCTCCCTCACGGCCGTACCCTCAGCCGACCCCACCTCAAGCTGATATTTTGAATGGCTGCTTGGCGCAAGAACTGACTGTGTTGTGCTAGAAAGAGGCTGAGGAGCCTCTTACCTAGAAAAGTAGAGGGGTCGTGACCCACTTTTGGATCACGACCCACCAGTTGAGAACCAATTTGGCATACTGAGGATCTCTAGAGGGAGAAAAGAATTGATCAGGTTAAACTGACCCCATGGAGTCACATGTGCTTCCACTGTGAAAGCTGGAGGGTCTCTGGTCCTGACAACAAACTGTTGTTGAACCTGGAAACAATAAAGTCTGTGTGATGTGAAGTTCTGCTTAAGCCTATCAGGTCTGCCTCTCTGAGTTGCATGACTTTTGGTGCCTCCCTGATGATTGATATAAGCCACCACCAAGGTGTTGTCCAAATGAATCCTGGCCGACTGCCTCGCAACTAAGGGGACCAGTGTTCAAGGGACAACCAAACTGCCCTGAGTTCCAGAAAGTTGATCTGCAGCTCAGTTTTCTCTGATGACCAAGTCCCCTGTACTGAGAAGGTAACCAGGACTCCTCCGCAGTCTGACAGACTGGCATCCAATGTAAGCACCTTGCAGATCCTGGTCTTGGCCTGGTCTTGCTTGGCAGGTAAATGGTGCAATCTGGAGATTGAGCCTGTTTGTCCCATGAAGCCAGAATGTTGAGCTACAATGGTCAGGAGTGAAACTGAGCATATGGGAATGCCTTGAAGGAAACAACCCTTAAGCTCAGAACCCTAATGCAAAGTGAATAGTTGGGTGATCCCTGGACCACAGGGCCCGTATGTGGGAGCAGAGAGACTGATGTTTTCTGGGGGAAAAACCCTGGCCGGGGGTTATGTCTACGACTAGTAATTTAGGATCCATCCGAAATGTCTGCACAGTCTGCAGCATCTGATGGACTTGTCGGCCAAAGACTTACACTGACTGTTCCCTGAGCAAAACCTTAGTAAATTTAGTAAATGTCCTCCTTTGACCCAAAAGAGAACTATAGCCAAAAAAGGTTTGGACGTAGTTCTCTTTTAATTATTACATTTTAGTATATTCTTTGGAAAAGCGATGCTAAAGTTCAATTTCTTTCAATCTCAAATGAACAGAGAAAACAATAAAATCCTGACAGAGGTTCTAAAAGTTCACCACTCTACTATAAAAAAAAGTTTTTTTCTGTTTCACTTTTGACATGGGAGAGGCAGGGTGAATTTCACTTATTTCCCGACTCCTCTCACATCATTCAAATACAAAGGCAGTAAGTAGATATTAGGGATGCACCGATACCAATACTAGTATCGGTATTGGTGCAGATACTGGGCATGTTCACAAGTACTCGTGAAAAATGCCCGCGATACCGCTGCTTGAAATTTTTAAATAGATTCAGCTGCCTGAGGTTGTGTGCTTCCTGGGGACCTCAGGCAGCCTAGTGCAACCTCACAGCGGCTGTCTTTGACAGCACCGGTCTAGCTGCACATCTCCTCCTCCATCCCGCTGCCCACAGAGACTGGCACAGCCCTGGACACAGCCGCTACACACCAACCGGTACAGCCCTGGAGAGCCCCACTTGCACCCCTTGGGTGACCACGCACAGCCCTATGTGAGCAACACAGAGTATGTAGCTTCATATTATTCTGCATTGCTGTATAATGGATTGCTGAGATTTGTGGTCCCTCTACAGCTCGCAGTCAGTGGCAGAACTACCAGGGTCACAGCGGTTGCAGCTTGGACTGGGCCCTGGCACTCCACCAATGTACTAAAATCATTAGTCTTTATTGTTTTAGAAAAAATGTCACATGACACTTTTAAAAAAGTATCGGTAATTGGTAACGGCGAGTACTTGAGGAACAGTACTATTAACCATTCCCTGGGATCTTGCTGGAACGATCATGACATCAGCCTCTGCTGTGCAGAACCCAGGTATAAGATAAGTATGTTTACCAACATTCTTCCTTGATATTTTTTGCACTTCAAAGCAGAAGTAAATCACCAAAGCAAATGCTACTTTTTGGCCCCCAATAGCTTTTTGCCATAAAGTTCATGCATGCAAAGCATATTTGCACATTATGGCACACCTACCCAGCAAAGTGATCCCTTTTAGTGCTGTGATGTCCGCTCTCCCCTGATCTGGGTTTGGAGTCTACAGCAATCTTAGTTGGCTGGGCCAATATGACGTGACTCCTGTGCATGCAAATTGTAGTTACTTTCTCCCAGAACTGGATCATACTAGTATTTGTACACTGGGCATGTATGACTCAGTGTACACTTTTACAATTAAGTGAAAGGTCCACTTTAAAGAAACATTAACAGGGTTATTCACAAAAGGGTGAAGAGTTTGGAGAAGGCAGGAGAAGTGAACAATCTAGGACAACATAGCTGAGCTGGAAAGTGAGCTGAATTGGAGAATGTTTCCAAATTAGCTAGTTTGGCCTTAATTGTTCACTTCTCCTGCCTTCTCCAGACCCTTCACCCTTTTGTGAATAACCCTGTAAGTTTATCTTCACAACCTCTAGGTCTAAGGTCCACTTTAAAGAAGCAATATGTCTATCTTTACAACGTCTATTGCTTGCTGCATTAAGTTAACTGCCAAACAAGAGGTGCACTTTACCAAAAAAAAAACAACCCAAAAAACAATGAAATAGATGTGGAAAAGAAACCAATAAAAAAGATTGCCGTGTAAACAGAAGCACTCTGTCAGCGACATGAATAGAAACTATGCTACAAAGG